TAGAAAGCCGAGGATGTATCAGGAACGAAACAGCTGTGAAGAGCTACATGTATATGACCAAAAAGTACCTGAAAAAATATCCAAATCTATCTAAGGTCAACTTTGCCTAAGGAAGTTGAAACCTTAGTTCTTTATAATTTCAAAATTTATTGACATACAAATTTAGAAAGGTTGTGGTATCGACCCAGTGCTGTGAAAAAAAAATTTATAAAACGTAATTAATTCTATGCGTTCGAAGCGCTTTCCTGGATTTACCTTCATCAGGAACGCTCAAAGCCGAAAATTTGAAAGCCGAGGATGTAAAAGGACCGAAACAGTTGAAGAGCTATATGACCAAAAAGTACTTAAAAAATAGCCAAATCCATCTAAAGTCAACTTTGACTAAGGGAGATGAAACCTTAGTTTCTTTATAATTTCAAAATTTATAAACGGACAAATTTAGAAAGGTTTGTTATAAATCATGTCAGTACCGAAGCCCTGACTACTGAGCTGATCATACCCTCGGGGACTGATAGTCCACCAGCAGAGGTATCGACCCAGTGCTATAAAAAAATGAAAACAACACGTTATTAATTTCATGCGTCCGAAGCACTTTTCTGGATTTACCTTCATCAGGAACGCTCAAAGCCGAACATTTGAAAGCCGAATAAACTATTATTCATAACAATACAGGATTAAGTCTGCTATGAAATGGGCGCAATTGGTGCCCATATGAATACCTACAACCTGTCGATAAACTTTATTGCCGAAACGTACATAGATAATGTCAAGGAGAACATTTAAAGCTTCAATCATCTCGTCACCGTTCTAATAAGTATATCTAGGTATTTCCCTTTTAAATTACAGAAGAAGGCTTTATATGAGTTGCAGCAAATAAATCTGCAACCAGATGTTTCAAAGGACCGTTTGGTTAAATAAGAGAACATTTGTTTGATAAGATTGTGTGGTAGTGTAGTGTACAGAGTCGAAAAATCAAAACTGTCGACTGTTTGAACGGACTACGAAAAAGAGTTTTTGACACTCCAAAATTATTTAATTCCATCATTTTCATATTCTTGATTACAAAAATAATAACAAGTTATTTACTAGAAGTAAAGGAACTAGTTATCTGCACAGAAAGATTAGTAGTAGAATACTTACTTGAGCTGAGATGAAACAAAATTTGAACGGGTTTTTGTGTGATTTAGGAAGCCAATACATAGCAAGGACTTTCAAATTTTCAGAGGAGGCTTTAAAAGAGAGGCGAAAGATACCAAAGGGACATTCAAACTCATAAGTCGAAAATAAACTGACAACGCCATGGCTAAAAAAGAAAAAGACCAACAGACAAACAATAGTACACAAAACACAACATAGAAAACTAAAGAGTGAGAACACGAACCCCACCAAAAACTGGGGGTGATCTCAGGTGCTCCGGAAGGGTAAGCAGATCCTGCACCACATGTGGCACCTGTCGTGTCGCTCAAGTTAGTACAAACCCGGTAATAAGTCTAATTCGGTAGGTCACATTCGAGAAAAGGGGACGAGATTGTAGTTACGACATTAGGAATATATCCGCTATCATCTGTGAAACGCATATTCCGTAACGGTCAACCAACTCGTGATGGCGTCCATTAAATTTACGAAGGGATGATTTCAACTTCACCACTTGGAACTCTTGGTTTAATAGCTTCCTTGTGAGCAGCAACCCTCTATCAAGGAAATCATAATACGAAATACAAGCCCTGGAATATCGTTTCAACTGGGAGATATATACTCCGTATGCAGGCGCTGCTGGAATGTTGCTACATACAAATGGAAAGTTCACAATTGGGAAGCTGAAATCATCTCTTTTGTCATAAAATTTTGTTTTCAACCGACCCTCATTGTCAATTTTTAGATGTAAGTCAAGATATGAGGCAGACTTAACTGTATCTGTTGTATCCTTTATCTCAAGTTCATTTTTTAAGCTGATCTGTGGTAGTGACATGATTGTTTAATATTTGACCCTCTGTAGAGCGCACGGCCTTGGATCTATTAGTTTATTGTATAATTTCATTCTAAAGGACTTCCGCGTAGTATTTATGTCATACCACCACCACATTGTTGGCTGCTTTGTCGGCCGGATCGAACACAAAACGCTATACGAGTACTTGATTTTTGTTTTTAATCCTATAAGTAGGCGTATTACTTTCTCTTTCATTCATTTCTTTTTTTTTCAAAATGTGATATGCAAATATGAACAATATTCAAACATTTATTTAAATAAGAATCAAGAGACTTTTTCTCCCAGTTTACACCAATTTTTACAATATGATGAAAAAGCAGTTTTAATGATCTGACGACACTCTTTTCAATTTATTTTCGACGGTGGACGATATTTTGGTCCTTTTTTCAGAAAGTATATACAGTAACCTCTCGCCTTTGAACAATGTTGAGATCCCCTGTAATCACATGTGCATAGGGATCATATCTGAACATCGGTATTTCACAGTCTCATGTTGAAGGAGCATTATTTTCTATACTGACATTTGATGTAACTGACGTATAATTAAATATCAAACTTCTACTGTTTTTTTTTTATACGATATTCATTTGTTAATAAAATTACACACACTTTGAAAAGATTTTCAAATTTTATTTATTTAGTTTTGTCATTTGAAGGACCAAATCAAGGTTCTTGTCATAATCCTTTGTTTGTATTTGGTTGCAACCTAATTTTGTAATATTACAAACTGCAAGGCACTGATTTTGAAGAGGAGAAACGCAGAACGTATTCACCGAAAAAAAACAACATTGACTGTGTCCCAATTCAAATGTCGAAGTTTTAGACTTATCTACAAACTTGTATAGGTCTTGTCAGCTTCCGTGAACACCAATTGTTTCAGTTGCATCAGTCATTTAAACTGTAGTATTGCCTTTCCTCTCAGTCATTAATTGATGATACATATCCATTAGAACTTATACGCAGCGATGTATCTCACAAATAATCATACATCAAAAATATCATTTATTTGGTAAACAAAATATTTTCATCCTTTAAACAGAAAAAACTTATATTTATTTACAGCAAATCGCTCATTAATTCTACCCTCCCCCCCCCCCCCCCCCCGATCTACGTTTGTTCCAGCATATTTCAGGTGAAGGAAAGACAACCCTAATTCAAGCGCAAGCAAAAACAGATAATGTATGTCATACTTGTTAGAATATCTTAAAATAGAATCTAAAATGAAATTGCACTTTATGAATGACGTTTGTCCGAAGCGCTTTTCTGACTTTACCTTCACCAGGAACGCTAAAACCTAAACATTTTAAATCCAGGAATGTATAAAAAACTTACTAGGATGAATATTCCTGTGCTGATGTATTAGGTGAATAAAGGAACTCTCAAAGATACACATGCAGTATATTAAATAAATGGTTTGTTAATTTCAACTTGTTTCCAATGGTTTATACACCGATAGACCATGTTGACTAAACTACTTTTGTAACCAATGTAAATACAATGTGGATTTCACTGTGACGTATATATGAATGATTCCTGGTTTTCCAAGACAGATGAAATTATAAGGAAACAAGAATGTGTCCATAGTACACGGATGCCCCACTCGCACTATCATTTTCTAAATTTCAGTGAACCGTGAAATTGGGGTCAAACTCTAATTTGGCATTAAAATTAAAACGATCATATCATAGGGAACATGTGTACTAAGTTTCAAGTTGATTGGACTTCAACTTCATCAAAACCCTACCTTGACCAAAAACTTTAACCTGAAGCGGGACAGACGGACGGACGGACGAACGAACGGACGCACAGACCAGAACACAATGCCCCTACTACTATCGTAGGTGGGGCATAAAAAGCAAAGGTTTTGGGTTGCCAAGTATAAGGATTACGCATCTAGAGGTTATTGATGTGTAAACTAGTTTTATAGGCCACTGAGTCAGACTTTAATATTCGTTTCTGCTACGCGACCCCGACTACGTCGCCATTATTTCAGAGTTTAAAGATCTGGATGACCCTAGAGGGGTAAATTTAGTAAATAAATATACGTCATCAGGGACCGCCCATTTTGGGAGAGAGAGCTACCTGAATAATACTGAAGTCCAGTGCTCTTCTGATTGGTAGAATCTACAGTGTTTGTAAACAAGGCCATGCGAATGCCCAAAAATGCCGCATGACCCCCAAGTTTTTATTGTTGCAAAACATGGGGCTACATTTGTACTTTTATGAATGATATATGAAAGCTTCTGATTTCTAAAGATAAACCAGGTTTATATTTAATTCAAGACATAAATTTGCATTAAAGTCAATGGGAGATTTTTACTAAATTTACCCCTAGATGGACGGAACTGTTCATATTTACGGAGGACCTGAAATTAACAATTGTTTTTGTAGAGTTTTGGTTTACTGAGACTTAAATTGTGTATACAAATCTGTATTAAATCAGGCCGTTAGTTTTCTCGTTTAAATTGTTTTACATTGCGGGGCCTTTTATTGCTAATTTCTATGTCATTTGGTCTCTGGCGGAGAGTTGTCTCATTGACAATCATAATACCACATCTTCTTCTTTTTATAATATAGTTGGTTTCTGTTTTTTTTTCTTTCTTTTTGGTTTCCTTTTGACTTTTGACTTTTCACAAGGATCATTTTTTTAGTTGACTGTTTGTCCAGCGGCGAAACTTACCTAGATTGAAGGACATGTATATATTTTTTTTTAATAAAATTTGAATATACCCTACATTTTATAAGCCCGACATGATAAATAGGGTTAACACACTAGCACGTACCAGTCATGTGCGCATACATTTTTCTTACTCCGAGACAGCCAGACTCTGTTGATACTATTAGATAACGCTTGATTGGTGATGAAGCAGTACTTACTAATTATAAGGTTTTTGTATCAGGTAACATGCAGGGGATCGAATCTATGACATCTCACACTCTAAGTCAACAAGCTACCAGGGTATCCCCGAGGCGAATGGAACCGCATCTGAATACTAGAATGTTAGGTTGAACATATTTTGTAATACGTATTTATTTAGATTTGAAACAAAGCAATTATAATGAAATCCCAAAACGCATAAAAAGATGAAACTCGTTAATTATGGAAACCATTTAGTGTAACAAAACAACTTAAATATCAAGTCAAATGGGTAATTATGCATTACATAATGTTGCTGGTTGTGTCACATAACTGAATCATGAATATAAGACAACAACTTATTACTTTCGTATCCGAAACTATCCGTGTACCTCAGGCAACGCGAGAGTTGCCCGCCCTCGTCGATTATCATACTTGTTGTTGCTTGTTCCACCAACGTTCACAGTGACTACTTTAGACCTTTCATTGGAAGACTTGGAAAAGCGGGACCAAAATAATTTTGTTTTTGTTTGTTCAGTATGTTCATTTTGCAGGATTCTACCCTTAAATCCATCGTTTGTTTTACATTTATTCTTTTTTCTGCAAACAATTCCAAATATTATCAGAAATGTTACCACCACTACTACGCTACAAGAACAGGCGATAGCTATTGTATATTCCATCACTTCTCTCTATCTATAAAAGAAGAAACAAAGAACGACTAGTACATACTGTATAATATGTCTAGTCACACTTTTAGATATTACAGAGAAGGATCAGTCATATCATGTTATAGTAATTCAGAACAACCTAAGTTTTTATGCCATATGTGAAATTTAAATTAAAAATTGAATATATTGTTCGTCATGGTTGCCATGGTCATTGACAGATAAAACATTTAATCATAGAAGGTGCACCAATGAAACTATGAAATGATGGGTTAGTGTTATGTTAAAATAGAAATGACATCCAATGACTGCCTAATTCCACTCATGACTTTTTATGTTTTGGTTTGTATAATAGTTGCTCAATCTTAAGTTGTCTGTGTAGTGTGTTTGTGTTTGTTTAAGTGGGGCACGTGTTTGTCGTTTCGTTTTTTTGTTGTTTTTTTTTTTTGCCATGGAGATTTCTGTCTAAAGCTTTCTTCCACTTTAGGTTTGTACATGCCAACAATTGAATAATAAAACATTGAATTGAATTAAGGTGGATCATTGGTATGTATTTCCTCAGATAGAGTTTTCTTATACTTTGCCAGAACGTAGATTTTTCCATGCTTTTTTTCACAAATATAATAAAAAGTATAGGTCACCGTGCTATTTTTCAAGCTACAAGTCGTGCAAAATTGCCCAAATTTGCATAGATTGTTCGTGAAAAAACACCTTTTTTGCGAATAAAAAGAAATTTATCAGATACAATAAAATATGAGAAGATAGGTTTGAAAATATGCTTTCAGAAAAATAAAAATAAAAAATGATGTCACCGACCTTGTTTTCTTGTTACAAGTAAAAATTGAAAATTTATCATTCTTTTATGAAAATTTTACTATTTGAGTTATCTCTCCTTAATGGCTAAGTTGACAATTTGATTCGAACAAACACAAACATTTGGTATTTGATAAATCAGTCTGAATAATGCAATAAATCACTTATTAATCTTTATTCAAATAAACAGTCTAACCCATTAATTGCCAATCTGTCTAAAAAATTGCAGATTTAAGAAAAAAAACTAGATCTCTTGAGAACTTCTATTTATAATTCAAGATGGCGGTATATAGTTAGTCTACCTTAACAATAGTTTACCCATCTTTTAGTTGGAATGTACCTATCTAATCTTTCCATAATGAGAATACGTGTCACATTTACCCAAATTTGGAATATTATTTTCGTTACAATTTATATAGGTGATCAAACCTTAATAAAAAAAAAACAGAGTCGATTTATACAGTCCAAGAATTCATATACGAGACTGACATTTCATATTCAGTACAGCAGTCTGAATAAACCATGTGATATTGTAGATTTCAATACAAACGTATTAAACCGGTCAAATGTGGAGCAAGATCTGCTACCCTTCCGGATCAACTGAGATCACCCTCAGTTTTTTTTTTGTTTTTTTAGGGGGGTTGTGTTGCAAAGTCTTTTCTATGTTGTGTTTTTGTGTACTGTTGTTTATCTTTCCGTCGTACTTCATTTATTGCCATGGCATTGTCAGTTTGTTTTCGGTTTATGAGTTTGAATATTCCTTTGGTATCTTTTGCCCCTCTTTAAAAGTTCGAACACTACATAGAAAACTCTGGACCATTCAAACAACAGGACTTAAACAGCAGCCAAAAAGACGGCTTTTCCTACGAAGCTGCAACCCAGAACTTAGTGCAACTACAAAATTATCATTTTAAAAAATACAAATACGACAAAGTTTAAAATGTATTTTTTATTTAACTCTTAATATATCATAATGCGTAATCATTATCTCACCCAAACCCATTTAAGTATACACGATGATTCTGTATTGTTTATTATTTTTCTAAAGATTTCGGCAAGGATATAAGGTGCATATCAGATGTGGAACTTTACCTTTGTCTGTCGAGACGGGTCGTTATACGAAACCACCATTACCGTTAGATGAAAGAATTTGTCCATTTTGTAATAATGCTATAGAAAATGAGATATACTTTTTGATTAACCGTGACATTTACAGTGACTTAAGGTTTAATTTGTCTCACAGAGCTATGGTTATGGATAATTCTTTTTTTACAAAGTCAGATTTTAATCAATTTGTATTTTTAATACAGAATGCTGTATTACCATACGAGTTATCTACCTTAGTATATAATATAATAAGAAGACGTCGCGCACTGAAAAGCAATCTGCATTGAATTTCGTGATTGTATATTTCCGTAAAAGTCAAAGTTACATTTTATTTATTTATTTTTCTATATTATTTTATTTTATTCATGTTTTATTTATTTACTTTTTTACTGACAGGCTTTTTAAAAAACAAGATCATGTCATTTTATTCTTCGCAATCAGTGTATATAACCTCCTTTATATTCTTTCTATCACATATCATTTATCTTTTACGTCATACTTAATTGTGTCATTTCTATTTAAAGTTTTGGTTTTATCTATTTATTTTTTTATTATGTGAAAAATTCGGATAATTCTAAAAACATTTTTGACATTTTACTACGTTTTACAATTTGTATTTGTTAAATAGTTTATATATTGTCTCATAAGCCTATCTATGCTGGGTATTTGTCTTACTTTATTATTGTGCAATGTATATTATATAATCTGTATATAAATCTGTAGACAAGTATGTGACACTTTAATAAAATAAATTATTATTTATTATTATCGTAAACGCAGTATGTATCCCTGGCTATACAGTATAAAATTATATTTAGTTTATCAATAGTAATTGTATAAACACTTACCATCATTATCAAAGATTTTCGTCGTTATGTGATAATGATTTCGCTTCGTGTTAACAGATTTACTATGTACCGTTGATTTATATGAATAAACCATACAAATATATCGTATATCCGATTGGCAATTTTAACATTGTCTACACTCCAAAGAAACATCATCAAATATGTAATAATATAGTTACTGATGACTTACTATATTGATCTTTAAGCAAAAGTTTCATTTAAATTGTCGATTTTTACAGATGAACTTTGAGATAAGTTACTGTTGGCAAGGGATGAGTATGTGATATGTGGGAAACGAGTCGTTGACAAAATAGGAAATAATCTATGAATTCCGTCATTAGTTGCCCGACAGAAGACTTTGATTGTCACGATAAAAAAAATCTACAATATTAGGACATCATTATTTTTTTTTTGGAAAAGAGGGGGATGTTGCTTTAGGAAGACAATGTTAAAGTGGACAATGAATAAAGGCGTGAAATGCTCTTTATCTAAACCCAGCAAAACTATTTTTCAGATATAAAATGTAATACGATGTTGTGTATTAATCATGAACATTTCACGAATTAACAAAACGAACACTCCATACCCAGAAAATAGTAAAGAGTTTGTGACTCAAATAATCGGACTCGTGTTACTACTCTATACAACTTTCATAAAAAAGATTCAGACAACTGTCATAAATTGAAAAAAAAACGACTAAACGTAAGAACGATGTTCATGTTTTAATACCCAAATTATATACCAAAACAACTAAGATATCAACGAAACAGCATTATTTTTGTACCTTCACAGTGAAATAAGGAGACCCGCAATGAGGTATGACAAACCGTGAAAGAAAACTACACATATCTGGCCATTAACTGCTTACCTTTCTGGAGCACTGAGTTCATTACCGTTTTTTGGTGTGGATCGTGTTTCTCAATCTTTAGTTTTCTGTGCAATGTTTTGCCATTTGTTTGTTGTTTTTTTTCTAATTTCGTCCTATTCTTTATGGCCATGTTGGAGTATATCTTCGGTTTATTAACATTTGTAGAATTTACAAATAACACCACAGCTGGTGAGATATTAGTCTCAGAGGGTATAGTCAGCAAAGCAGTCATATTTAGAACTGGCTGTTACTTGTTTGTACAGTTTAAAACATTCTCATATAGCTTCCAATGTATTTAGTATTCACACAAATTCCACGTAACATTAACAGATTAAAGGCCAATTGCATGCAGGTTTAGCAACAATACTTTAATACTTACATTTGATTTGGGCAAAATAATCATTACAAGAATATAGTTGTAACTAGCTAAAACAACACGATTGGAACCAAAAGTGGAAGAGGATCTGCCAAATCACAGACCACCCCTGTTTTATGCGGGGTTCAAATTACTCAATCTTTAGGTGTCTATGGCTGTTGTTTTTCTTTGGCCATGTTGTTGTTTATTTTTCGTCAACCATTTTGTTTTTTTTAATGCCACATAGTTTCAAAAATATATATTCTGCCTTTTTAGTGATTAAACGATACTCTAAAACATATGAATGAAAGGAAATGTTGGATATTGGACTTTAATTACGTAATTAAGACAGAAATCGAACACCATCAATTGCTTTGAGTCTAGACAAGTTGCTTATAGGATACATGTGTTTCTGACACTGGATAGGCACATTATCTTGTAGAAGAGTTTCTGTTTTCAATTTTTTTTTCAATTTAATTTTTTCATCAACTATACTTGCGTTATTTATTTATCTATTTATTATTTTCAGTTATCATGATCAGCTCAAAAATGTATAGCAAGTCAATTCAGTACAGTAATGTACCTAACCTAGCATTATGGTATGTGTATAACAGACGACAAATGAATGGAAACAGGTAAAACAATTCTAATCTTTCCAAAATATGTAGTGATTTGCAGTATCATGAATTATCGTCAGGTTTTGTTTTGTTTTGGTTACATTTGGGGGGGGGGGGGGGGTGAATTGTACAGAAAACGACAGTTTGTATTTTATTTCACAAGTATTTATAAGCATGTGTTTTTATTTTCGGATACTTTTATCATATACTTGTGATTTTAAATGCTTATGCTGCCTTTTTGCTAATTAAAATTTTCCATTTATCATTTGTGAAAGACTACAATACCTATTACTAGTAATACAATATTTTCCTAGTCGTAAAATTTCGAGGATACAATATCAAATATGTATGATTACATACTATATATTTCATGAAAGAAGATGAAATTATTTGAAAAATTGATTACTCTCTGGAGGAAAGTAACAAATTACCAACTATAATGATTGGTAAGTAAAATGCCTCGATTGCCATGCAAATGCACTGTTTATGATTTTAAATGCTAAACATTGGTATCAATAATCTAAGCTGCACTGAAGGAATAACAAAATAATACATACATATGTACGTACAACGGCGTCACAATGACTAATTAGAAAATTATCGGATCATTAAGGACTTTAATCAGTCATCATAAAACACAGGTGGAAATTATGTTTGCTTAAAGAATACTAATGTTGATTCAAATTCAGTTTCAATATTGTTTTTTAAGTCTATGTATTATAGAAACATTTATTGCTGGTCGAAAAAAAACATCCCGATGCAATTATTTCTGTAAATTCGTCGAGAAAAAAAAGATTCGTTTTTGATTTTGAAAAAAAATCGATTACGCAAACTAAGATAGTTAAGAAATATTTCAAGGCCCAATAGCAACAGTAACCAGACTCAAGCTAGCGAACAATAAGCCAGTATGAAAAAAAACATTAAATTAATATTCGTTTAAGAAAATATTTCTTTAAATTTGAATGACTTTATTCAAATTTACCAGATTGTTTTAGAACTAGTATGAATAAAAATAGACCCCTGGGTATGCGTCCATGCAAGAGCAACCGACAGACTCAAATAACATGAAGTCGTCAGCAAGGTACATTTAGAGTTGTCCACCTATATATACACATGTCTAAATCGCCTCGGGTCGAAAAAAGTTTTGAACAATAGAGAAAGTATTTGTGTTCTAAAATTGCAAAAATAGTAAAATTCATCAATCCTTTCAAAATTATGTTAATTTTAAAGATGAATGAAAAGCATAATAAAATATGGATACTGTTATGAAAGGATTTAGGACGCTTTTAGAAATAATTGGAAATTGAAATAAAGTAGATCTTAGTAAAGCAAAAGTATGTGTTTCTAGTTTATTAAGATAGTTAAAAAGTAAATTGAATATAAATTTCAAATAATTCGTTGATATAAGAAGAAAATACATAAGTTAAAAAGATCAAGATTCCTAAGTATAACGGACTTTATCTTAGATGCAAGATAATCAGTAATAGTACAAAGTCAAGAACCTCATTAAATAAGTTATTTGGCACGCATAAAGAAGGTTATTTGGTTGCCATACAGATGTATGTCGAATTGTTATTACATCCAAGGTTATAACCATATTCTCAGAATCATGAATATTCAGTAATACATTAAGGCACACGAGAATGTTATTAACAACCAATCAACAGCTGAGATACGAAGATTGATGTATACAAGATAATAATTAAGATTTTAACAAATTTTCAATTATCTTTTATTATTAAGATCAGAAATTAAAATTCTTCCAAAAATATTATTCTTTTTAATTTTAGAAAACATAATTCTGATGCTTTTCAAAAACAAATAAATGCATTTTGCATATCATGAAGCAATAAATGTTTTGGCAGCAAATTCCATCGTTTGCAAAAGAATCTCAATTTCGGCTGGGGAACAAGAATGTCGGGTATTCAATAGTGACTATAAAAGCAAATATAAGTCTACTGCCCGTACTATCCTTGTTCCTACCAGAAAATTGAGTTGTCTTATTTATTTCATTAAAAAGGTAAGTTATATACTGTTACTTAAACTTATTTAAAGAAAGAAATTGATTGCTATATAATTCAATAAATATAAATATAAATATATATATTCAGATATAACATTTTAGTCATTGCGTTTCATGAGGTTATTCACTCATGTATAACAAATAGAATGAACGTAGTTTACAAGGTAATTCAAGCAATATTTGAAATAGAAATACATGTGTTATTGTCAACTGATAATGTTATTTATTGTTAATCTGTATTATATATGCACTGTGATATCTTATGTTCAAAAAGAAAAGAAAAGAATAATTAAAACTATCCTTGTTCCTACCAGCAAATTGAGTTGTCTTATTTATTTCATTAAAAAGGTTCGGAAGGCGCGAATCCCACTCTCGCTGCCAAGCCAGTCCATAACAACGACATGTAGTCCCCAGATGCCCAGACGTCTTTCTACCTACAGGAACCGTAGAAGAACTTAACAAACGAGAGAAGGGAAATCACCATCATGTTTATCAATATAGAAGTCATAAAGCACAATCATAGTCCCACCTTAACAAGTGTTCCCCTGTGAAGTATACAACAAAAAGGACCATAAAAACCTTCACAACAATACTCCAGTTAAGAATAGTCATAGTCTCTTTGACATATTCCCCATTTCCATTCTCAATTTTATCAGTTGTCACGTCACTGTGATTCATTAACATGTCGATTTTGACTAATTTGACATAAACAGTCCTCTTTATATGCTACATGTGGAGCAAGATCTGCACAACCGTCCTTTGGCATTGTCGGTTTGTCTTCGACTTATGAGTTTAAATATCCTTTTGGTAGTTTTGGCCTCTCTTATACACATAGATTTTGGCAAGTAAGTTATGAACAAAAACACTGGGGAGGTTGGATACGCAATACTTAATTTATATAAGTTACCAGTATCTCAACATTGAAAAAGCAAATACTTGTTACCATAATATTTCATCAATTTGATTTATCAGTTTCAGCGTCTTCCCTTTGGATAAACTGGTACCCACTGAATAATGTGTCACTTTATACAAAAGAATGACCATTTCGATAACCATATAAAAAAATAAACTACCAATGATGGCAAATAAATTATGAGTACAAATTTACCTAGAAACTAACTTTTTTTTTCAGTTTCAAATATGAGGTCTTAAACTTTTGATTGAAACGATAAATATTAAGATATTTATCAGTCAGTATATATAAATAAGAAGATGTGGTATGAGTGCCAATGAGACAACTTTCCATCCAAGTCACAATGTGTAAACAGTAAACAATTATATGTCAAAGTACGGCCTTCAACACGGAGCCTTGACTCACACCGACTAGCAAACTATAAAGGGCCCAAAAAGACTAGTGTAAAACAATTCAAACAGGAAAACCAACGGTCTAATCTATATAAAAAACGAGAAACGAGAAACACTTATGAACCACATCAACAAACGACAACCACTGAACAACAGGCTCAGCTTTATAAATCAATATTTTTTCGTCTTGAAATCAGACGTGGCAACTACAATACATCAAGAGAAATTCAATGTATGTTTTATTTCTGTCAGATCAACGCCAAATGTCATACTGTCTATGATATATCCTTAACATCGAATGTTCTCCTGAGTAACGGCAAATTAAATAAATGATAAATGTTTGCATGATTTTCAATAGCAAATATTTCATGTATAAATATTCTATATTCCGGACTAGAACCAGTGAACAAAAAAACAAATGTTTCTGCAAAGTATTTCGATTCTGATAGAGGGAGTGAACTTAGATTGCCACAAGTAATGGCTTCATGTTGGTTAAATGCATACAATATGACAGCGGCTTGAAAGACAGATATTTAAACGCCCAATTTTGGTGCGTTGCTTTTGCGACCTTTCGTTATAGTAGGAACAAAATATTTACAGAAATGCAATCCACTGACGTCATCTATTCATTTATATAGTTTATATTTGAAATTAGCTTCAGCAGTTATGGGTATGCAGTTAATAGAAGCACACGTACATAAAGCGGTGGATAAAAATGAAACCACAAGAAGACTTGTTACTCTTATATCATCATCGGAGTTTAGTCAATATATGAAAGTGTTTCATATGCCGTTATGATGTACGTCGTGAATGCCCGCTCAAGATGTTACTTATGACATATTTCTCGACGTAAGAATGGGAAACGAAATCTCCTGCATTTCAAAACCCCATTTAATATTTGTTATCAGTTTAAAAAAAAAGCACACAGACCAAATTATTTTCTTTTGCAATGAATTGTTTTTATAGAAAAGTATGGAACGCCACAGCTGTTTTATGTGGAACTCTGATATTACGTTATGTTGTTCTATTATAACTTGATGATAGTTTGTCTTTACATAATATGATTTTGACATTACGTAATGATGTTTTGATATAATAAGTCAATATGGAATAGTCATTACTTAATGATATTCCGATATAACATGATATGGTTTCGTATTGACTTGATATAGTTTTGTCATGACTTAATATGGTTTTGTCATTACTCGATGTGGTTTCACCATTATTTAATGTGGTTGTGTTATTAGGCAGTGTGATTTAAACATTACTTGATGTGTATGTGACTTAACGTAATGTAGTTGTTTCATTACATGATGTGGTTTTGTTATTTCGTAATATTGATTTGCCAATTCTTTATATGGCTTTGACATTACGTAATGATGTTTCAAAATTTGACGATTTTACACTACATGATGTGTTTGTTTCAGTATTTGATGTGGTTCTGTCATTCTCTAATTTGGTTATCCCATCATACTTGATGAGGTAAAAAACCACGTGACCATTTTGGAAAAAATATGTTTTATTTTTAGACCGACTTCCATATGTCGTCTGTGTAATGCGCTTTGGATGAGTGCCGCTATCCATTAAGTTAAAGTTCAAATTAAAGTTCAAGTTGTTGTTCAGAGTTATTTGGTATGAAAAAGAGGAACGACAGACAAAAATAAGAAAAAAAGTTCTAAAAAATTAACAGTAATTCGGACATATCCCAAACCATTTGGTCCTGCCATTTTTTCCTTAGTTCTCAAATGGAAGCTGAAAATTAATAAATAAATTAAAGATTCTTATTAACCCTGTGTCTCGCCGGATAATTCTGCTGTCAGTGTAAAAGCGTAATGTTGACTGACTGTACATTAACCAGTACACTTAACGGGAGGGGGGGGGGGGTTCTGTAGATGCTTTTATTTTGATCTTGAAGAATCATTCCTATACAAGTTTTATAACAATTCATGGAGGTTTACAAATTTATCATGTCAAAACAGTTAAATTCGGTAATATTTAATTCATTAAAAAAACCTTATATAGAAATAAAGAAATGTGGTATGATTGCCAATGAGACAACTCTCAACCACATACCAAATTTCGAGTTGAAATTCGAGTTTGAGTCACATTTAAAGATAGAGTTCCGAATTACAATTGGACATCAACTTTAAATTTGAGTCACCTTTTGACGTAGAGTTCGAGGTAAACTCTTATTTGAGTCTCATTTAGATTAAGATTAAGAATTGAAATTCGAGTTATCTAATATGAGTTCTATTTTTTTTTATCGCGGATCAAGGGCTTTTGCTCGAGCTTCCGAAAAGAGGGTTCAGAGGTAGGTATGCGTACAAAAGATAAACAATTTTACAGCAAACAAAACACAACATAGAAATTGAAATAAAGTGAGATGTGGTGTGATTGACAATGAAAAAATTATCCACCATAGTTTAAATGCAGTGGATGCAAGCAATCATAGGCAACCTAACAGCCTTCAACACATCGTATAGTTGACCACAAAAGACCACCACGTAAAAATGTGAAGCAATACAGACGAGAAAACTAACGGTCTAGTTTATAGCTAAACGATCTACAAAAAACAAATATGACACACATGAAACACATGAAACAACGACAACCATTGAACTATAGGTTCCTGACTTGGGGCAGGCATTTAAAGAAAGTGCACGCGGCGGAGTTTAACATGTATGTAAGCGCTAAATCCTAACCTAACCTAGTGTATACTAGCACAGCATAAGAAGAAAATGTAAAGACAGTTTTAATTGGCTCAACTCAATAGATCAGTATTACTGGGTAACATAAATCCATCATCGTGATCTCGGGTGCTTTGGAAGGGTAAGCGGATTCTGCTCAACTTGTGGCACCCGTCGTGTTATTCGTGAAAGTACAAACCCAGTGATTTGGTTTTATTTGGTAGTATACATTCGAGGAAAAGATGACGGGATTGTAGTTACGACAACTGGAACCCATCCGTCGTCACCTGTGAAACAGTGAAACAGATATTTCAAAAAGTATTTTTTTTCAATTAGTGCGTGGTATATCAGAAACTGCAATTAATAAAAAAAATGCTTAATATTCATATGTTCAAATGAACATACACGCTAAAAAAAAACCGTAGAATTTTTATTTTATAGAATTGATGCTTTGGAGTTTAACATGTATGTAAGCGCTAAACCCTAACCTAACCTAGTGTATAATAGCACAGCATAGGAAGAAAATGTAAAGACAGTTTTGATTGGCTCAACTCAATAGATCAGTATTACTGGGTAACATTAATCCATCATCGTGATCTCGGGTGCTTTGGAAGGGTAAGCGGATTCTGCTCAACTTGTGGCACCCGTCGTGTTATTCGTGAAAGTACAAACCCAGTGATTTGGTTTTATTTGGTAGTATACATTCGAGGAAAAGATGACGGGATTGTAGTTACGACAACTGGAACCTATCCGTCGTCACCTGTGAAACAGTGAAACAGATATTTCAAAAAGCATTTTTTTTCAATTAGTGCGTGGTATATCAGAAACTGCATTTAATAAATAAAAAGTTTAATATTTATATGTTCAAATGAACATACACGCTAAAAAAAAACCCGGAGAATTCTTATTTTATAGAATTGATGCTTTGTTGCTTAGTCCCCCCCCACCCCCACCCCATTTCCCTTTAACTTTAGTGCGAGTTGATTTAAAGTGTCTCATTTGTTGAAAATACAGTACAAGTCTTTTGATTTGTGTCGTATCTGCGACAATAATGTAGCGACAGTGAGATACAACAAACCTATATGCCGTCGTCGGTAGTATCGTCGGCGTCTTCTTCATTTAGATTGTTAGGTTTCTAGTTTGAATTGTTTTTGTATTTTTCATTTCGAGACCTTTTTAAGCTTACTATGTGGTAAAGACCATACAGTCACACGATGATTATCTCGTAATTACGCGATAGTTTTCTCGTAATTACGAGATATTTATCTAATTACGAGATAAATATTTTTTTTGTGACCCTAATAGGCTTTCGTTACTTGTAATTTAGAAATATAATAAACATATAAATCAGTTTAAAATGCTGGAATAAATTATTATGTTTGCAATTTTATGGTCCAAATAATGACTATTGTCTAATCACCTGTTTTATCATTACCAATATAGTATGAAATATTTCAATAAAATACCATAATCCAGAAAATGATTAAACATCATTTATCAGTAAAATAACTAAATTATGAAGTTTTATAGTGAAGTTTGTAGTCTTGACTTGGCCCGAGAACAGTTATTTTGTAGTGCATTTCTTTTAGACAATTGATGAAAATATTTAAAAACCCACCTGCTCTTTCTCTGATTTTTTACAGTATGGTGTACTACTTTTGTGACAAATTATATCTAAATTATAGAAAACTTCATCAGCTGTAACTCAAAATATGGACAATTTTATGTTAAGGGGTCTTGAATTCTTTTGACAGTTTCAGACATACTAATTTCTAACCTTTTTGAGCTGGACCAAATCACTACTTTACTTAAAATGCATGACCCAAATTATTTTACCGTGTAATTTCATCCCCCTACTTGCTATTTGAGGCATAAAACATGAAGAAGTAAATTTGGAAGGGCATGAAAAAAATTGCAACTAATACACTGTTCACAGAAGGGACTATATTTGTAGACAAGGAAAATCAAAGGAAGATAACTGTGTTTTCGGACCATTTGCTAGAATCATACTTCTAGTAATAATGATAATGGTCAGTAGTTATAATTATAAAAATGAAAAGAAAAGAAAAGGATAACATATTGTTATTAGTCTTTAAATTATCTGTAGATCTTAAAGTATTTCAAGTCTTTCTTTCTTCAGCTGATATCTGTGTAAAATGGAGTATACATCATTTTAATTTGTTTCTGTTGATGCTGAAAAAAATATGAGTTTTGAGTATTAGGTTTATGTTCACATATTTGTTCTCTGCGATGCAAGGCGAACTTAGTCCGTCCATGACAATTAAAATGGGAGATCTAATAACAAAAATGAAACGAATCATTTCTTGGTGAGTATGGATAAATTCTATTATTATTAATTGCAAATGTATACCGTCTTTTAGTATACAAAAGTACTTATCAATTAATGTCCTATACCTACATTTTTTGGTAGCGCATTTCCAAATAACAATACAGCTGACAACTGCAATTAACGCAACAGCGGCAATGCATCCAACTACAATTCCAGCAATTTCTCTACAAATAGAGAGTAGAGGTTTGTGAACATGCATCACTCCGTTACTAACCATTTCTCAAGTACAACATGTATTTGAGAATTTATCCTAACAGCTAGAGCGAAATACTAATTCAGTCGAAGTGTAAATCATAAAAGCAACAATAACAAAACAAATATTTTCTTTTTTATTTCTAACTTTTGATTGTGTATCTAGATTTCGAGACTATTTTCTTTTCTTTTTAAAGCAATATATGCGGTGTCGAATTTCTGTTATACATTTACATTCCAGAACAGTAAAGCATTGTTAACTTTGACTTATATAGTTTGTTGTATTATCCAATATAATGTAGCAAAAAAGATAGATATACTAAAACGCCTTGTACTATTTCTTTTTATAAATTATTAACCATGTCATAATTGGAATGAAATTTTGCTACACATGTCATGATAATAGTTATTAATAATACAGTTCTAAATCGCAAATATAACAAGCAAATTCAGTGCTACGCCAATTTAAAAAATAAATTAAGCAAAATGATCTGAACATCGGATAGACGAACTGACAGTCAAATAGTTTTATGAAATAAAGGGCGTCCAAGAAAGGATCAGATATGTACTAACCCTATAAACACCCCCTTTAAATCATAGAGTTTTTTGGCGTTTCACACGTGGTTTGTATTCACTGTTTGAAACAGTCGTAAGTGCGTATTAATAAAATTGAAAAGCCAAAAAAAAAAAAAGGACGTTCGCATGACCGTACTGCCATAAAAGAAGTCAAGATAACATGTTATACCACATTGTACTTTAAGAGTCTAGAATTGTACTTGATTAACACCCCTTAACACCGTAATGTCTCGGTAGGTTTCTTTAAATCGCAATGTCGCAGTAAGTATACAGTGGTTCTCTATATAAATAATTCATCTTAAAATTATACTTGCCTACTTTATTTATCTAAAAAATATATTGTAAAAGCGTTCGTGTCTATATCCGTTATTCTTACCCGTTGGACAGACTTGTATCTTCTTGTTCTGTCACTTTAGCTACTAAAATGAGAACACGATGTACCATATTTTTAATATCATAATCTTTTCCGCAAATTTATAATTTTTCTGTTTGGTATTAAATCAATAGTTAAGATCCATTTTGTTACATCTGGTGATCCGTTTATTTGACAATCGCCAATGGCAGTCAGCAGGGTTTAAGAACATCCGTTGCTCGACCTGCTAGTCAAATGCGTTTTGTTAAAGTATACTTTTTCACTTTTTTTAGTCTTTTGGAAAATGTTGTTTGTGCTGTATTTAGACCTCTCTACCAAGAAATTTGTTTTGCATGCACACGTATAAACATTAGGCTTTTTATCCAACGCAATCATAGGTTTGAACGTTGTTTTCAATTTAGACTTGTTTATATTTTTTCGTTTGGGCTTGTATTATATTTGCCTTCGGGTTTATGTGATCCGTTCATCCTATTACGACTCTTCAAAATTCAATAGTCTATCCTAAATTGAGGTAAATTATATGGCCTTCCAAATACCGTTTCGATCCCTAACATCACCGAAGAGACATTAATTGTCGAAATCCGGATATGGTGTACAAATTTTTGCACCTTTTGTTTGCGGTATACCATCTTTTCCGCAAGTTTATTGTTTTCTGTTTGGTAATAAATTAATAATCAGATCTATTTTGTTACATCTTGTGATCCGTTTATTTGGCAATCGCCAATGGCAGTCAGCAGGGTTTAATAACATCAGTTGTTCGACCTGCTATATAGCTAGTCAAATGCGTTTTGTTAAAATATACTTATTCACTCATTTGGTCTTTGGAAAATGTTGTTTGTGCTGTATTTAGACCCCTCTACCAAGAAATTTGTTTTGCATGCACACGTATAAACATTGCGGTTTTTATCCAACGCAATCATAGGTTTGAACGTTGTTTTCAATTTAGACTTGTTTATATTTTTTCGTTTGGGCTTGTATTATATTTGCCTTCGGGTTTATATGATCCGTTCATCCTATTTTGACTCTTTCAAAATTCAAGAGTCTATTCTAAATTGAGGTAAATTATATGGCCTTCCAAATACCGTTTCGATTCCTAACATCACTGAAGAGACATTAATTGTCGAAATCCGGATATGGTGTACAAATTTTTGCACCTCATGTTTACGGTATACCATCTTTTCCGCAAATTTATTGTTTTCTGTTTGATAATAAATTAATAGTTAAGATCCATTTTGTTACATCTGGTGATCCGTTTATTTGACAATCGCCAATGGCAGTCAGCAGGGTTTAAGAACATCCGTTGTTCGACCTGCTAGTCAAATGCGTTTTGTTAAAGTATACTTTTTCACTCATTTAGTCTTTTGGAAAATGTTGTTTGTGTTGTATCTAGACCCCTCTACCAAGAAATTTGTTTTGCATGCACACGTATAAACATTGCGGTTTTTATCCAACGCCATCATATGTTTGACCGTTGTTTCCAAATTTAGACTTTTTTATATTTTTTCGTTTGGGCTTGTATTATATTTGCCTTCGGGTTTATATGATCCGTTCATCCTATTTTGACTCTTTCAAAATTCAAGAGTCTATACTAAATTGAGGTAAATTATATGGCCTTCCAAATACCGTTTCGATTCCTAACATCACTGAAGAGACATTAATTGTCGAAATCCGGATATGGTGTACAAATTTTTGCACCTCATGTTTGCGGTATACCATCTTTTCCGCAAGTTTATTGTTTTCTGTTTGGTAATAAATTAATAATAAGATCTATTTTGTTACATCTTGTGATCCGTTTATTTGGCAATCGCCAATGGCAGTCAGCAGGGTTTAAGAACATCAGTTGTTCGACCTGCTAGTCAAATGCGTTTTGTTAAAATATACTTTTTCACTCATTTGGTCTTTTGGAAAATGTTGTTTGTGCTGTATTTAGACCCCTCTACCAAGAAATTTGTTTTGTATGCACACGTATAAAAATTGCGGTTTTTATCCAACGTAATCATAGGTTTGAACATTGTTTTCAATTTATACTTGTTTATATTTTTTCGTTTGGGCTTGTATTATATTTGCCTTCGCGTTAATATGATCCGTTCATCCTATTTTGACTCTTTCAAAATTAAAGAGTCTATCCTAAATTGAGGTAAATTATATGGCCTTCCAAATACCGTTTCGATTCCTAACATCACTGAAGAGACATTAATTGTCGAAATCCGGATATGGTGTACAAATTTTTGCATCTCATGTTTGCGGTATACCTTCTTTTCCGCAAGTTTATTGTTTTCTGTTTGGTAATAAATTAATAATAAGATCTATTTTGTTGCATCTTGTGATCCGTTTATTTGGCAATCGCCAATGGCAGTCAGCAGGGTTTAATAACATCAGTTGTTCGACCTGCTATATAGCTAGTCAAATGCGTTTTGTTAAAATATACTTATTCACTCATTTGGTCTTTTGGAAAATGTTGTTTGTGCTGTATTTAGACCCCTCTACCAAGAAATTTGTTTTGCATGCACACGTATAAAAATTGCGGTTTTTATCCAACGCAATTATAGGTTTGAACGTTGTTTTCAATTTAGACTTGTATATATATATATATATATATATATATTTAGCCAACGCAATCATAGGTTTGAACGTTGTTTTCAATTTAGACTTGTATATATATCTATATACAACTCGTCTAAACATCAGCCCAACAATGTTAGATCTGTAAATTTGCTTTCGCAAATTTTTAGTTCTTCCCTCGACGGGATTCGAACTCATGCTACTGAGATATCGTGACACCAATTCGCCTGCACTGTATCTGACGCGCTAGACCACTCGACCACCTAGGCTTCACAAAAATAAAGCTTTCGGTGGCCGGGTGTTACCTTTCCTCGTCAGTTTTAATCTGGCGTCGTAATACAGTACATGATATATAAGGCATGAAGATGGAATATATATATATACAAGTCTAAATTGAAAACAACGTTCAAACCTATGATTGCGTTGGACAAAAACTGCATTTTTTATACGTGTGCTTGTAAAACAAATTTCTTGGTAGAGGGGTCTATTAAATACAGCACAAACAACATTTTCCAAAAAACCAAAAAGTGAAAAGTATGTTTTAACAAAACGCATTTGACTAACAGGTCGAACAACTGATGTTCTTAAACCCTGCTGACTGCCATTGGCGATTGCCATATATATATATGTATAAAACGTCTGAAAAATAGTCAACGATTTTTCCCACGAGGGCGCTGGATCGTTACGAGTAACGATACATGTACACAATAAATAAATTATATAAACGTCTAAAAAGTGTACACAACAACACCAATAACAATAAAAAGAAACTATAGATATAGATTCTTACATTGATACCAGTGGGTTATCGGATTTATCCAATTGAGATAGTTAAATTATCAATTTTAAAGTCCGAGCCTCGGCGAGGACTTTAAAATTTATAATTTAACTATCGAGATTGGATAAATCCGATAATCCCCGAGTAACTATGTAAGAATCTGTTTCTCTAATGCCTAAAAAATAAATTTTCATTTTTTGTTAAACAAAAATCCCCTTCGAGTGCCTCCCAAATTTCGCAAGGTTGTCAATTTCATAAACACCTGTTAGCATATTTTGATTCATTCAGTTAGCTGATTAAGTTTATGACCCTTAAACTCGTCCAATCATCTTCTGAGATCACCGGCAACCACACGTTGATTATTTTTTTTTTATATACAATGAGTGCAGAAAGGTATAAGTTGTCAAAGAATTAGAGAAATGTAATTATTTATAAATATTTCGGATAACAGATATCCTTCATCAGTAAATATGATTTTGATGTTGAATGAATCATATATCAGTCTACTTAGATTAAACTTTAACAATCTTGAAATTTATACAATAAAAAAGTCAAACCGAACATCAGGTAAGACGCTTGCACAATTCTAAATATGTGTTAAACACGACATAGGTTATATGGCTAATTACAACAGAGGGTTCAAATATATGCTTTAAATAAAAATAATAATGTGCGGTATGAAC